CAGATCAGGTAAGTGAGGCATAGGGTGGGGCAGCTTATAGATCAGGGAAGTGAGGCATAGGGTGGGGCAGCTTATAGATCAGGGAAGTGAGGCATAGGGGGCAGCCTATAGATTAGGGAAGTGAGGCATGGGGGGCAGCCTATAGATTAGGGAAGTGAGGCATGGGAGGCAGCCTACAGTGACCCCTTCACACAGCGTGAAACCCAGAGGAAGATGTTTACCGGACCCACCCCCACCAAAACGCATCTTCGCCTGTGTGCCTCTTTACCCTCCTTTTGTTTCTTATCCCCTTTTTAAAATGTCTTAACCCCTTTTTTCCCCATTGTGTGTCTTACACCTCCCTTGTGTATCTCTTACAACCCTCTTTGTGCCTTACTCCCCCCAAGCCCCTTTGTGTGTCTCCTTCTCTCCCAGCCCCTTTGTGTCTTTTACTCTTTCAGCTCCTTTGTGTGTTTCTCTTTCACCACCAGCCCATCTATCTCCCCCCCAGCCCCCCTGTGTCTTTTTCCTCTACTCCAGTTCCTTTGTATTTCCACCCCCAGGCCCTTCTGTGTGTCGCTTTCATCCCCAGCCTCTCTGTGCATTTTTCTTACCCCAGGCCCATCTGTGTGTTTTTCTCCCCCCTCATGTACCTCTGTGTGTCTTTCTCTCCACGCAGGCCACCCTGTGTGCCACTCTCCCCTCCATGCCCCTTAGTGTTTCTCTCCTCCTATCAATGTCCATTAGTGGTCCTCTCCCCTCCCCGTCCCTTAATGGTCATCTCCCCTCTTTTTTCTGTCCATTAGTGGACCTTTTCCCTGTCCCTTAGTGTTCCTCTACCCCCTTACCGGTCTCTTAGTGTTCCTCTTCCTTCACTGTTCCTCTTCCTTCACTGTTCCTCTCCCCTTCATCCCCTCTCCCTTAATGTTCCTTCTACCCCCTTACCTGTCACTTAGTGCCCCTCCATTCCTATTAGTGTTCCTCTCCCCTTTCTTTTAGTGGTCCTCCACCATCCCAGTGTTCCTTTTCCCTTCCCTCCCCTGTACCTTAGCCCCCCTCAATGTTTCTCTCTCTCTCTCCAAAATAGTGTTCCTCTCCCCTTACTCTCTTTTAGTGGTTACCCCCGTCTCATGGTGTTCTTTCCTCTCCCTCTCCTGTCCCATAGTGTTCTCCCCCCCGACCAATAGTGTTCTTCCCCCCTTCCGCTGTCCCATAGTGTTCTTCCTCCCCTGACCCAGAGTGTACTTCCCCCTCCTCTGTCCCATAGTTCCCCCATCCCCTATCCTATAATGTTCCCCCCCCATAGTGTTCGTTCCCCCTGTCCCCATCCATTAGTACCCCTCCCCCCCCCTGGTCCCTGGTGTGTCTCCTACTTCTTTTTGTAGTGTGGCTGGGCACAGCGGACCGTAGTACAGGAGCTTCAGCTTCCTGTACTCGGCCAGACTGTCAAGTTCTCTCTCAGTGACTCTTGGGTCCTATATTGTTTAGCAATTACAATAGTTGGTTAACCCTTTGTGAACAATGTCTTTCACTCACCATAACCACTTTAAGCAAGAGTGACTTGGATCTACTTTACTTTTGTTCCTCCCACCTATTTTCTGATAATTGGTTAACTCTTTGTGAATAATATATTTTTCACTCACCATAACCACTTTAAGCAAGAGTGATTTCGATCTATTTAACTTTTGTTCTTCCTACCTCTATTTATAGACATTTTAAGCAGCCTTCAGTGCTACAGAACTCCTTCTACCCCTCTTACATTGCAAAGCTTATTAACTTCTGTTCTTTACTCCCTGAAGTATGGGTAGATGTCTGCTTGGGGCAAACAAAAGGAAATCAATTATTGGTTGGGATATGTTATAAACCACCTAATGTAAATATTAATGAGGAAGAACAGCTGTTAGAGCAAATTGGGAAAGCTGGAAATCGAGGTAACACGTTAATTATTGGAGACATAAATTGGGATAGAGGGACTAGTACTTCAGCAAGGGGAATCCGGTTTTTGAATGTGTTAAATGACACCTTTATGTCACAACTGGTACAAGCACCAACTAGAAAGGATGCTTGTCTGGATCTCGTTATAACAAACAATGTTGATCTTTTAACCAGCATTCAAATAGGGGGCATTTGGGAAATAGTGATCACAATATGGTAATTTTTTAAAATAAACTAAAAAAAGCAAAAGCACGTGGGGTATACTAAAAGGTTTAATCTTAAAAATGCCATTTTCAATAAGGTTAGGGCAGCTCTACAACATAACAACTGGCATAAATTCCTTAGTGATAAAAATACTGAGGATAAATGGAAACTATTCAAATAAATATTAGAAAGGTACATTTCTCAGTATGTACCATTGGGTAATAAATATAAAAGAAACAAATTAAAACCAATGTGGCTTAGTAGGGAAGTAAAACAAGAGATTAAAAATAAGAAAAGGGCATTAAAAGCATTTAAATCTGACAAATCAGAGGCATCCTAAATAAGATATAAGGAAGCCAATAATGCTTGCAAAAAGGCAATTTAAGTTGCTGTTGTGGTCGTGACTTAAATATGAATATTAATCTCTTAATACATGATAATTAAGCAATACGGAACAACATTAATATTTTTATAGTTCATGGTATTATGGTCGAATATGTGGATAGAAAATACACAAAACGTGTAATATTAATGTATATTTAATATAACTATAATAAATAAATAGATGCTAGCGGAATGTCAATTTACCACAATAATTCTACAATACAAAACTACAACATGTTACTTACAAAAGGCTATCGGTTGCTAAATGTTACAATGGATTCATATTACTTACAAGGCCCCAGCCTTTTGGCTGGGGTTAAGTCAGAGCTGGTACTACATCTTAGGTTCAGTCAGGTACAGGCAAAGAGAGCGAGTTTTCTCCTCCATCTGGTTTTTATTCAGTGTATTTCTAAATAGGCTGGCCTGTGATGTCACTGCCAGAAGCACATATCTTCCTAAACACTGCCCCTAATGGTGTCTCC